CCGCCGCCGCCACCGGGCTCGGGCTCCGGGTCCGGAACGCTGCTCGAGTTCGCCGGCGGAACCAGCTTCGGCTCCGATCCCGCCGCGTTCGCCGGGCCCTCGGGCGCCTACGAGGAGAGCGTCCTGTGAGGCCTGGTCGAAGCGCGCGGCGCTTCCCCGCTCCTCGGCGGGCTGAGGATTCCCAAGTTTGGGTGCCCCTGGGCTTCATCGCCCCGAGCTTCAGATCTCGCGCTTGGGCGCGCACGGGCCGCCACCCTGATCGAGAGTGCCCCATCCCTGGATCTGTGCCTCAGGGATAGCGGGCAAGGCCAATTCGTCCATCACGGATTCCGATTCAGGGATGCAGGTGGCCCGTAGAGCCCAGCTTAGGAGTCTGTCACCCGGCTTTCTGGCAGCGAAGGGAAGCTTTTAGCATCGGGAGAGGGCAGGAGAGATCATCTGGCTGCTCTCTTCCGCATCTGGGTTTCTGGGTGGGTTTGGTTTCTTCCCATTCTCCCTAGGAGATTCGGGGACCGTCTTCCGGTCACTTGAGTGCGTCCAGTAAGTTTTAAGAACATGGTTCGCTGCAGGAGCCTCACTAGAATCGGGGGAGGGGGACGGAGGTGCGAACAGGTAAAGCTTTTGTTCTGTCGACTGTGGGTATTTATTTTCATCTTTTGTATGGCGGGAAGACTGTGGGGGAGGAGTTAAAAAAGCAAGATACCAAATGGGTAGCCAGGTTGCAGATGTTGGCTTGGTCCCCGTGGAGTTGGAAGCCTTATTCTTTGAAAATCCTTACTCCAACCCTAAACACGGGTCTGTCGAGCACGGGCTACAAGGTGGGTTTTGGTATTGGTATCCCCTCCAAGCTTGTTGGCTCTCTAGTGGCTGCAAGTGGCACACATGGACGTCTTTGGAGTGCCTCCTGTGGGCTCCTCCAGACCTAGTCTCCAGACTGGTTCCCTAGCAGCGCCCTCCGCTGCAGCAAGTGGCTGCGGAGCCCCGTGCTCAGCCTTTCACAACCTTGGGGTGGGTCCAGGAACCTTCCCCCTCAGCTTTTATTAAGGGCCCTACATCCTCTGCAAGCCTCTTAACTCTGCTTCTGTAATCACCCTGCGGTACAAGCTGGTAGTGTTTCTGCCACAGCTGGGTCCGTGGCTTACAGAGGGATTGGTGGCTTACACAGTGGTTGTCCACTTAAGGCATCACATGGACCTGAGCTCACAGCGCCCTTGCACAGCCTGGACTGTTGGCATCTGGGGTGTGGCTCATGCAAGCCCCTCCTACCCTCCCTGAATACTGGGCCAGAGTGACTGGGAGCTAAAGAAGTGAGATTTCCACCCACCCTGCATTCCCTTTTAGACCTAGATCCTTTGTTGTAGTGTAGATACGCCTTTGGGGCCCAAGAGCTAACATGCAGGCTGCTAGGTGCTGGGTGGGTAGTCCATGGGTGGGAGAAGAGCTGGGGTGGTGATGGTCAGAACTTAGCCTGGCCAGGTGAGGTGGAATGGGAAGGCACCGGTCCTGATTGCTCAGCAGTGGCCTCTCTGTCCCATTTTTAAATGCTCTTCCCATGTCTGCTGGGACATGAACTTCAGAAAAAGCCAGGACAGGGTGGGCTGGGAGGGCACCATCCCCATCCCTCCTAGTCCCCAGCGGTTTCCACCCTGCCCCTCTGGTGTGGGCAGGAGGACCCAGCTTCAATAAAGATGGAGAAACAAGCTTTGGGACTGGACTCTGCTTTTGCCCCACCATAGTGTCCTTCAGGGATGCTCACTCTGCAAGGCTCATCTCCTTTCTAACTTCTGAGAAACCAGAATTCTTGCATGGCATATCATGAATTTGCCCTGTGCCCACCAAGTCTTGCTGAGACCCCTCACACTGCCATAAATTGGAACAACACACGTGGGACATGACTGGGATTAATTTGGCCAACTTTCCAGGTTTAAAGAGAGGATCTGGTCTCCTTTCTCAAAGTGTAGACCCGCCTTGGCCTTTTCTCAAGGACCCCAGTGCTATGAGGTTCACCTACCCCAAATCCACAAAGCCATGACCACCCCAAGAGTTCCTACACAACTCCCCTTAAGCTGGCTTTTCTTATTCAATCTCTGTGATAGGATCTTTTCCCAATGGATTTGAAAAATATGCAGATATGATTTGAGGCATCAGAATAATGGAAACTAGCATCTTCATGAAACAAGCAGGCTGGGCAGGGGATGTAGCTCAGTTGGTACCTTGCTTGCCCAGTAGAACTCCACAAACCAGACATGGTGGAACAATCTTGTCATCTCTGCATTTAGGAGGTGGAGCCAGGAGGATCATGAGTTCAGGATCATTTTCAGCTTCATGAGCTTGAGGCCAGCCTAGGCTACATAGAGACTACCTCAAACAAACAAACAAACAGACAAACAAACAAAAAATACCCCCAGACTCTTAGGCGGTAGATGCTTCATAAGACATAAAGATGAATAACCACTCAGTTCTTAGTCTCCTGAGAAAGGCCAAGCAATTCCTTGATAAAGCTCACCACCGATTGTGCAGCTGGGGTTTTTATGTTGTCGGGGAGGGAATTCCCAGTGCTATAATTGCCAAAATAAAGGGGAGGGGTGGAGCTCCAGTGAACTGTGAAATGTGACCAACCAAAGGTGACATTTGGAGGATCATTATGCCTGGACATTCTCTCACTCTACCTACCTCTTCATTTTTCTCTTGTCCCTGTTTTCTCAACCTTTTTATGTGTTTTTCTACTTGATCTCTTTAGACACTGCTCTCTCTCTGTGTGTGTCCTTCCTTCCATCCCTCCCTCCAATTGGCTGCTTATATAATAAAGTGGTTTTAGATTTTAAGTTATATCAAAGTTTTACCTTCCTTGTTCATGATTTCCCCCACATTTTCAGTTAGATATGAATCGTAAAGCCTCCAACAGTATGAAAACATCAAGTTCATCTTCATCTCCCTGACAACACTCATCCCATCCAATACCCGGGTTCCTGTTCATATGCATGTGTCTATATGGAAATGGTTCAGAATAAGAATATACTGTTCAGCAACTTGCTTTTTTCCCATGTACCATGTACCATGTAGAGGTGTGCATGGTGACATATGCCTATATCATAATACTTGGGAGGCAGGTAGGAAGGTCTCACATTCTAAGTTCCAGAGTGAAATGGGATATTTTGTGAGTTGTCTAAAAAACAAAAGAAAAAAAAACCAACCAACCAACCACCACCACCACCACCACCAAAACCCCAGGAGGCTGGAGAGATGGCTCAGCAGTTAAGAGCACTGTCTGCTCTTCCAGAGGACCTGCATCACATTCTAGCAACCACATGGCAGCTCACAACTGTCTGCAACTCCTTCGGGCTCTGCAGGCACAGAGAATGTATATGGTGCACGGACAGAGCACCCAGGCACATAAATAAAAGCAACAGAACTACTTACGAGAATTTGCTTCATTCATATTCCTATCTACTTTCCCCATTCCAGATACAGTTTTCAACAACTTCCCGTTAGAATGTGTGTCTCATCCCCACCCCCCACCCCGCCCCCCAGACAGGGTTTCTCTGTGTAGTTTTGGTGCCTGTCCTGGATCTCGCTCTTGTAGACCAGGCTGGCCTCACAGAGATCCATCTGCCTCTGCCTCCCGAGTGCTGCGATTAAAGGTGTGCGTCACCACCGTCCGGCTGTTTTTTGTTGTTTTTAATATGTGGGGCTGGATAGACAGCTCTGTAGTTAAGAGCACTGGTTACTCTTCTAGAGGAACCAAGTTCAGTTCTCAGCACCCACATGGCTCACAATCATCTGTAACTCTGGTTTTAGGCGATCTGACCACTCTTCTGACCTCTGAGGGCTCCTGCATACATGGTTCAGACACAAAAATTTAAAAATTGCATATGTATATGAAAATGTTTGCATGCATGCATATGTGTATGCAGGCCTGAGGCTGATGTTAGGTATTTCTCTAAGTTACTCTCCACCTTATTTTTTGAGACAGGGTCTCTCACTAGAGCTCGCCAATTTGCTGGCAGGCTAGTGAGCTCCAGGGATCCTGTCTCACCAGCCCTTAGGAGGTACTGGGGAACAAACTCAGATACATGTTTGCATGGCAAGCACTTCATCAACTGAGCTATTGCCCAAGAACCTTGAATATGTTTCTCTAAAAGGCTGACTAGAAAGGAATGGCCTTTGTAAGACTCCAGTTCAGGTTCTTTAATGCCTGTTATCATACACTCTTTCCTAAAGTGCTTCACCTGCTCAGCAATCCTGTGTTCACACTGTTAATGCATCTATGCCATCTCCAGTTTCAGGTGGTGGCAACAAGCCTATACTGGTTAGCCCATAATTTTCACAAGCATCATAAACTTTAAATCCAACAGAGGGGGCTGGGGAGATGCTCAGCTGTTAACAGAGCAGAGAACCCAAGTTCAATGCCTAGCAATCACATGGTAGTTAACAACCATGTGTGACTCTGGTTCCAAGGGACCCGAAAATCTGCTTTCCACAGGCTTCTGTCCATGTGGTGCACATACACACACTCAAGTGTGCACACACAAATAAAATGAATGAACTTTTTAAAAGATCCAATGGATGGATTTTTTTTACTTTCATGTGTGAGCATGTGTGTTTCCATGTTTGCAGTCGCACATTTGGGTTAGTGTGCATGTGTAATCCAGAAACCGATGTCTGGGGTCATCTGTGATCGCTCTCCCACATTGTTCATTGAGGCAGGGTCTCTCAATCAAACCCAGAGCGCTCTAAAACTATTCTGGCTAGCCAACCTGCTGTGGATCTCATCTCGGCCTTACAGGTGGACCACCGCATGCTCTTTGCATTTATATGGGTTCTGAGGACCTGAACTCTGTTCTACTTGAAGGGCAAGTGGCTTAGACACTGAGATATCTCTTCTACCCATATTTTTCATAGTTATCCTTGTGGTGAGAGAAATTTCCTTGTACATTTCATTTTGTTTAAGTAGCGGCATTCTATAAAGCTTGCCATAATTATTTTTTTTGGGGGGGAGCAGTCATGGCTTCCTGGCTAGAGTTGGATCACAATTAGGTAGAGTGAGAGATGACAGGAACAAAGGAAGGGCAAATCCAAGGCTCAAACGCCATGGTCCAGGTGGTAGCATATCTTCACATTTCTTTAAATGCGAACTGTGGGTTGAGGAGATGGCTCGGTCAGTGAAGTGTCTCAAGCAGGAGGACCTGGGCGCTAATCTCTGAAATCCACGTCAAAAGCTGGGCATGGAAGCCAGGTGGTGGTGGTGCATGCCTTTAATCCCAGCACTTGAGAAGCAGAGGCAGGCAGATCTCTGTGA